ATACATTATGGGAGATTAGATAAAGAGCTGGCAGTTCTCACTATAATAATTAAAAACTAGATAATGTAAAGGGAATCTGCTGAAAATTTCAGTCAAATTGATCCACTCTGAATCGAGATTTTAGTGATTGAATTTTCGGCCTAGCCTCGATCATCATAACTAGTTGGTACAATAAAAAACAGTCTTGATTATCCATTTCATGATTAAATCAAGAATGAAAGTGGAGCAGCAAATGGGATTCTAATCCAGTAAACATCGCAGGCTAGTGTTGACATCGAGACTTGATTATGGTCTGGATAAGTTAATTAATGTCTAATTAATAATTTAGATAACATTTCAGTCCAAACAAAAGACCAGCAATAGACAGATTTAGCTCATGCATAATGTATGTTTAAGTTCTTATTCAGATTTTATCTAAAGAATGCATAATTTATATTTTAACTCTATATTGCTATATACAAACAATAATGGCTGACATTAAGATTATCAGCCTTTCATTAACAGATGCAAGCGAATAATTGAAATAAGCAATTGAAATAAGCGAATAATTGAACTAACTCTCTCTCTCTCTCTCTCTATCTCTCTCTCTCTCTCTCTCTCTCTCGCAATCTTGTGCAAACTAAATTCTAGAACATTTTTTTGAAGTTTTAGAGAAATAAAGGTGTTTGAAGTATATAAAAATAAACAACATTTCCTATTTAGTGTAAATGGGTATATAAGATGAGTAAAATGCACCATTCTGCCTGGACCAAGTAATGCAACAACATCTTATGTAAACAATGCATGCGCCATAGAGCCAATGATCTACGCCTTGTGATGTGAGGTCACCTGTAAAAGGCATTCTTGAATTTATAAAGGTCAGTCCTTTAATACAGAATAATAAGAAGGCTTTCCCAGTACCTCTGTATTAGGAACTGCACTACAAATCCTGAGGACCATTCTGTACCTACACAGGAATTGAACAAAAACATCTTATAGCCTGTTCAGACGCTTAAGTTGAACTGGTTTAAAAAAAAAAACGAGATCGTTAACCCAGTTTAACTTAAGCGTCTGAACGCAAATGTGGGGCAAATAAACCAGTTTAAAAACCCCAGCTCGCGACCTGTCTTCCAGAAGGCTTTTTATTTTAAACTGGTTCATCTTAGCCGTCTGAACGGGTTGGCTTAAAAACCCCGGCTCCAGCTTGCTTTGAGCATGCGCAGTACGCAGTAAGTTACATTCCTGCGAACGTATCGGGGTCAGACAGTGACAATGTTATCAAAAGCGTGTGAGAACCAAATAAAGAATGTGAAGCTACCCATGCGTAGTTAACTCTAACCTCCGACTGAAGAGGTCAGAATAGTTCAACTGGTTTGGCTTATAGTACGTGTGAACGCAACACGATGCTGTCTTAAAAACCCCAGCGATTATGAACTGGTTTAAAAATAAGCATCTGAACGGGCTATAAGTTAGTGGACCTGTGCCACTACTGTGGCTGCTTCTCATTAAGACTATAATTATATTCAGTTATCATTTCCCACATCAAATATTTATTTAGAGTAATAATACACAACCTACACCACCATTTTATATAATATTTATAGATAGCGTAATAAAATACTCATGCTGTTCCAATAACAGAATACTGAGTACAAAGTCTCGTCACCCAACTGTAAAAATAACTTGTGGTTGATCGCAACGAATCAACCAAATCATATTTACATGTTATCATTGTCAATCAATAATCTCATGAAGCACATGCGTTAATTTTTCCAAAGATAAGCCGTCGGAGAGCATGGGAACCCAGCAGCTGTATCTTAATGGACGAAACATCAGACATGGCCCCGAGTTACGTCTGAAATTCAACAACCGATATTGAACATTAACTGGAAAACCCTTAATCGTTCTCTAACATCATAGGACAGAAATGGCTTCTACAGGAAGTTGGTCTCTTGAATTAAGTCAGTGACACAGACGGAAAATGCATAATCAGATCAGACTTGAGAGTTTCTCGGATATTAACAGATCCGACTCTTCATTTCTTATACATTGCTTTTCTTCTTTTTCCCCCTCCTCAAGCAGAGAATAAATAGTTAAATACAAAACTATTGATAGAATTCCACTAAACTCATTGACATTATACATGTATGTTGCAATATATCTATTGAAATGAAATGAAATGAAATAGGGTTAAATCTCTTACATCTGTTGTACGAACCGACCTAATAAAGATGGCCATATGCCATGCAGTGTACTACTAATTTAATTTTGCCCTGATGGTGATGCTATGGCTTACTCTTTATATTCATTTTCACCTGTCAAGAGGATCTTTAACATGCTAAAAATGGTATATACATGGTACAACTAGATACAATAGCTATTTATTATGGTCAAAAAAGAAAATGTCAAGGAATATTTTTAAACTCCCCAAAAAATGATTAAAATTACAATGACCCCCCCCCCCCCCCCGAAAGAATCAGAATATTGAATGATTTCAAATAAAATAGTGTAAAATAATGGATATTTAAAGACTACTATATTTAATGGTATTCTTTCAATATTTTTTTCAATGAAAACAACTAGGATCAATGTATCAAAGGTTCAAGCAGAAGTATAAGAATAGGTCCTACATCTCAATTAACATGGGTGGCCTCTCTCTCTCTCTCTCTTTCATTTTCTTTGGTCAGTCAGTGCACCAATGACATTAAAAAATTAAGTCAGTTTAAATATTTAACTTTCCTAGTTGTTCGGATGATATGAAATACTAGGGTCCAAATACCATTAGCAGACTAAACTCACAGAAGAGTAGGTAGAAACACTGTTGTCTTGGCAAAATTCTCCCCCTCACATTGCACACATAACCATGGAATAAACAAAACCAGTCTAAAAAAGACTCAGTTTAGTGTGGTGACGAGACACTAAACTCCAATCCATAACAGCATGCACTGCCATAGCAGATTGTTTGAATATTATTTTTAGTCAAGCCATTTGAACTTGATGCAGGCCTAAAAGAATCCTTGTGACTGTTCACATTCAGATCCTTCTCCCCAGTGCCACTGGCAGTATAGAGACAGACAAAATGTTTTATTAAGAACACTGACAATAAACATGACAAGAATGACATAGTTTCATTAATTTCCACATTATACTGTGTATTTAATGGTTCATTATATAGATCATCAGTATAATGATAGACCAACGCTATGACCGTTTTATGACTTTCCTATTGTATTAAAAGTCATGAAACATTAGAATATCAATACAAATATAAAATAATCATGTGGCATATTGTCTGTGAATGTTACAATATGTTATGAATAATTGAACAATGTAAAACAAAACTCCACCAATTATTCTCTGGAGTATATCAATTTATTGTTTTTGTATATCACAATGAAATTATTATAACATTTTACCATTCATTAACATATTTAATAAATTGAAGTCCAGATTGTGTACTGTTTAATATACATACTAACAAGATTCATGCAGTCATCGACCTTACACAGCCTTGTATACAAAAAACAAAATATGTTTCAGTGGAAACACAAAAATGATTAAATCGTAGAAATTTGTAATTTGTAAAAGCCACAACTACTATAATAGGTTGAAGTGTGTATAAAGATTTAAAAAGATATCTGGGACGGTTTATGAGATATTCTCTGGAAACAAAAACTGGAGGAAAAGATGGATGAGTCCATTTCAATTTCCCTTCCTTAACTCCATTTGGCATTGGAACAAAATAGAAGAATTTGGTGTAATGGATTATGCGGCTGCTGCAAAACTGACAAGGGGCAACCACGCCGGAAAATCCCTATGAACTTTCACAGCCAACACCGGGAGCGACACGGCAGACCCATGATCTTCAGGTCAGCGAGCCACTGTCTTAAGGAGGAAGAGAGACAATTGGGTATAAAGTATCTGAAATCATATATACTAATCTCATTGTTAGTTTTAATCACTTAAATCTCAATTTCACAAGAAGAAGAAAGGCGTTTTAAGGCCATGCAACAATATGTGAAGTAACCAATCAGTTACTTTAAATCAATCTGGTCTGAAAATTATTCAAATTGATGGCCATACAAAATTTACAAAGGTTTCTATTGATTCTAGACTGACATCTTTGTGCTGTCATTTATATCTTTTCCATACAATCCAGCACAATCTTTATGAAGGATTATTTCTAATTGTGATACATTTTTTTGCCTTTTTAAGATAATATCTGAATGATCTGATGTATTGTGCCATGGTTTATGTAAATATTGACTACTCCCAATAGAGACATTCAAAGAAAAGTGACATTCAGCATTGAGGTTTGTAGCTGATTTTCAAAAATGCCCTATTGCTCTCTCAACAGCTCTTCACACAGACGGTCTATATTATATAGCTAGTAAGCAGTACTTATGGGCTGTCCGATTGTTAAAGGGTTAACCTAAATTGTTAATTATTTTGTCATGGTGAAAGTAAATGTAATTATTATAAACTGTTGAAAGGGTTTTTCAAATGTAAATTTGTTGATAAATGACCCTTTTAACACGTCAAATCTGATCAATTGGTTTAACTTTTCCATCAAATTTAAAGTGACTGTAGTAACCAGATTTTAACAGAAGATCTGCAGCTAATGGAACCACCTACTTCATTATTATAAATCTTAAATGTTAACAAAGTTCGAGCATTAAAAGGTTAATAGCGCTACGGCAGCCATTAATAAACTAAAACTGAGAACTCAAACTGCTGCAGGGAGTGCCTAATGTCTTTGAGCGTTTCATTTAGCGACTTCAGGATACGCTTAATAAAGAATATCAGAGAGGTTAAACATGTGTGTACATATGTAAGTAACTGTTTCATATCAAGTATGACCAATATACCAAGAGGATACAAATAACCTAACATAGCAAGAGGGCATATGCTCAGCACAGAAAGAAGGTTTGTGACTTAATATACCAAGGGGTTTATATGACCCAACATACCAATAAATTCAAAAGACAATTCATTATTAAATAATTGATTAAAGGTCCTACCTCTTCTCCTTTGGTATTAACTTCATGATTCAATATTAATTCCACAGCCTCAACATTTTCCTCATTAATAGCATGTAACAAAGAATCTCCTACTTCCACATTATATTGTAACAGAAGTTCAATCATTTCAATATTCTCATTTTCGATAGCCACAAGAAGAGCACTACGGCCTAACGGATCCACACAATTGATATTAATTCCATTTGAAGAACTCTGTAGTAAAATCTGTCGAGTCGATGGTACATCTCCACGTTCAACTGCTAATAAATACTGTTTCTCCTCATTCGTCAAGTCTACCTCCTTACGAATGATCCCCATTCCCAGGGAGTCCACCCCATCTGACTCTATCCCTAGTTCATCCATAAGTCTGGTTGGGTTCATCATGGCCTCCTTGTATTTAAGGTAAACCTTGTCCATGGTGACTGTTTATTTCTGAAATGAGGAAAAAAAAACAACATTTATTCAGTTTTTCAACACCTTGAATAAAAGATTTGAAATAATTTCCCAGTTCAGCTTCTCTTATATCTATAGGACTTTTTCTGTAGGATTGTAGGAAAATTAATTAATACATCATAACTTTTTATGATTTTTTTTCATTTATTTGTAAGTTAATAAACATACAAATTCAACTAGATTTGTCAGTCCGGGTCAGCCAGATACTGACTGGTAGATTTGTCTGTCAGGCATTGATGTCAGTCAGTCAGATACTAACTAGCAGAAATGGCCATACTAAGAGCTCTGGGCCTATGTCCATTAAACCTTTCTTGAATTGTTTATTTCTGGAAGTCACCATAAATTATACACAACAACATTGTATCAACTTATTAGGTTAACAGAAGCCAAATATATGTCATCCATGCTTTTGTATTTAAGGATTATGATAAGATACAAAACTAGACTACATGTAATTCCTATTAGCTGACCTAAAAAAAAAACATTATGGCTCTAGGGCGAGATTTTTGTCATTCAAACCTGCAAATTTTCTACATGTTTTTTTTATGTCACATTTAACATCTTTATCAACACTCTTACCATTGTTTACCATTAGTGATTGACCATTCTTTAAAATCAGCACTATTTTAATTTATTATGAAACAGCTAACAAAAGCTAACAAATCTTTTCATACTAAAATATAATGGTTTTTTAAAGCTCTTAATTTACCAAATATTATATCACTGGTATGCACTTTACAAAAGCCTATTTAGTTCTTAATCATTCAATGAATTTTACAATCTTCTTTTCAAAATATATGTTTAAATTTTATTAATAATGACTTTCTTGTTTCTGGATGATAAAGTACTGTGATATATTGTATCAACACCATAGCAAGCAAGTTGGTTTTTAGGAACACTATCAAATGAATTAAATTATTATCTTACAAGACTGTGGGTTTTTATGAATAAATATTTTGACCAGATAATGAAATTAGAATAATCTTAGTCTAGATATTCTCTGATCAGAAATGGTGAAACATATCATGGCTAATAACAATCTTCAACTCCAGTCTGGATCAGCAATTAATCCCTGTTAGAGGAATTATTGTTATATATATTTCGAACTAGATTAAGCCTTTGAGAAAAGCAACCATGTGCTAATGCTATTTGTCTTTAAATGACCTTTTTTGTTTAAAAAAAACCCCAAGAAGCAAAATGTATTCCTGAAGAATAAAAATTGAAATTGATGTGGCCTTATGATTTTAGTTTCAAATATCTGTCCAGATTCATCTCATAATGATGTAAATGTTCCCTCCAGGGTTAAGTGAGAGATAGAAGGAGAGAAATGGGATGTAACATCCACTCAACACAAACTAGGTCATTTCCGGACTAACAAATGGTTATATCTTAGTTCAATAATTTGCTCGTGCATACAGGTCTTTAGCACAGGGAGGACACAGAGAAAACCCACAAGATTGGACAGGCGACGATACTCCTTGTCACATACAAGCAGGGAATCTCTCTCTCTCTCTCTCTGTGATGTTGATATTTTAGTGTTCCCATTACCCACACATTACTACTGGTAAGTAAAGCCACGCATTGATCATTCTGGAAAGTCTACATGTATTATAGACAGCAGTCTTAAAAATTTTGTCAATAGTTTAAAAAAAAGTTTCCCATTAAATTAAATGGGGGTTAAACATAATACATGTACTTTTCATTCCCCATTAACTACTTGGAAAGAGACAAATATTTTTGTTAACAAATATGTTTTTCCTATTGGTTTAGATTATGTTTTGCAATCAGTGGTTATGTATAGTTCGGGACTGTTGAGAAAATATTTCTTAAAACTTGCTTTTATGCTTCAGTAGAAGTATAGCTATAGATCCAAATGTCAAAAGGTTATTATTACCAATGATTATTTGAAAAAAAAATGACATGGTTCTGGAAAATTATCTCTTGAAGCAATGAACTTGAAAAGGGTTGTTTGAAATAGAAAAGCGGCACAGCATTGGAAGAACTATTGGTTGAAGCAATACATTTCAAATGGTGTTTATATCAACAAAATTAAGCGAGGAGATCTTGTTTGAGGTATCTCAAATTATTACGTAATTATTTTAACCAACAAAATCTTTCATCCCTGAAGTACGAAGTTATTGCCACACACATCAAATAATCTAATATAAATCACAACTCAAAGAATGTTTCTTCCTCAGTACATCTGAAGATTTTTTCTCAAAGTCTACATTTTCTTCGACTTCAGAATTTCTGATCAATATTGGAAGTTGTGTATATAAATAGATTAAATAAGTTAGCATCTTGTTAAAAGATGAAGGCACCGTATTAAATTACGGCATGATATTTGAGAATTTAGATCTACATCAGATTTGTATGATAAAGACAGAGTTAATAGCAGACTTACCCACATTTAGTTGTGAGTTTTAAGTGTACTTTGCAAAAATTAGTCAGAAACGGTAATAGAGATACAGGAAACAGAAAGGCCTCTGGTATCGTACTTTCACACAAAAGTGAGAGAGAGAGAGAAATGAGGTTTAACATCCACTCGACACTCGAGGAAACCAGAGAACCGGGAGAAAACCCACAAGGTTGGACAGGCGATCCTGCTCCTTGTACCTCTGGGGAATCGAAACCACGCCAGTTGACTCAATGACAGACCTTATGATACAGGGCGCACATGCTAACTATTCGGCTATCCACCCCACCCCCCTCACACAAAAGTAAACAAGATGACTAGTCATCACCATCCCGCGCCCTTGCACTTGTTTGGAAGGCATAAGGAAAAACAATTTCTTGGAATATCAATGGGACTAGTCAGAGGATTCACACTCTGAACACAGTAGCTCGGCCTACATTAATCAGCTACTGTGTGTTAAACAATAAGCTTATACATCAGAAAATAAAATACTAAAATAGGTTGATGTTTGTACAAAGTTTCAAAAAGATTTCTTGAACGGATAATAAAATATGCTCTAAAAACGAAATTGGGAGAGAAGGACGGTCATCAGAAAATAAAAGTGTTATAAAGGTATCTTGAACAGTTTCTGAGACATGCTCTTGAATAATAATTATATACCAAAAACTAAGTCACATGTGTAGTAAAAATTCAAAAATCATTCAACAGAGAAATTTGTTTCCATGGAAACCCAAAAATGATTAAATCCAAGAAATTTTTAATTAGCAAAAGACACAACTACTATCACAGGTTGATGTTTGTACTAAATTTCATGGAGATATCTTGAATGGTTTGTGAGATATGCTCCGGAAACAAAACTGTACACCAAAAGCTAAGTCAATTTTGTTTCCATGGAAACAAACATTATTAAATCCGAAAAATTCCAAATTAGCAAAAGGCACAACTACTCTAATAGGTTAATGTTTGCACAAAGTTTTATGAAGATATCTTGAACAGTTTATGAGATATGCACCGGAAACAAAATTGTACACCAAAAACTAAGTCAAATTTGTTTCCATGGAAACACAAAAAATATAAATCCAGAAATTCCTAAATAGCGAAAGGCTCAACTACTGTAATAGTTTGAAGAACTAGACACTTTTTCTTGCCAGACTTTCCGATCTTCACCACAGACCAAGAGGAAACATGACTGGAAAATTTGGGGGGAATGACCAAAAGTAACTAATCAAACTTTGCTATCTAAATATGTATCACTGCTAAACATATTAAACATTTCTAAGAATAACCAAGAAGCATTTCCCTATACCGGTTTTAAATATTTTCATATTCAACCAGTACATTATTAATATATTCAAACTGATGTTACATAAAAATAACACATTGCAGATGTTTTATACTGGAGAGTTGTGTGTCCATTTACTATGAATATTGATAAACTCTGAGAGATAAACATTATTATTTTAATATAAAATAGTTTTATTAATAAAACCCAAGGAAAATATTTGTAAAAACAAGATATATCAATTGATCTAAAAAAACAAAACAATATAGGTTAACAGAGTATAATCTCTTTTACCTTATATTTCATTTGATATATTTTAAATTTTAGCAGGATACAGAAGTATGTTAGTTATCAACTTTCCAGAATCTCGCCACCTGGAGCCCTTTCTTCCAATAATCTTCTAATAATAAATCCCTAATTAACCAGCTATGATTTGCTTTATGGTATCATTTCCTCTTCACAAAACTCAGTAATCACAACAGAAGAGATTGATTTTAAAGAAATTAATCCTGACAGTTTGGTTTGTTTGTTGGAAGGTGAAGCGTGACTTCCTTGATAACATAACTAACGACTTGACAAGCAGAAAACACTTCATGCCACAGAACCAAAGAAAACTATTCTCAACAAAAAAATTAGGAAAGTCATCTCCAGGGTTTTTGAGAACTGTCATTAGATGAGAATCGTGGCAACAGGAAAAGGCTGGGTTGTCATTTTAACTGGATTTGAATATGTCAGGCATTGAGTAGCAAGATCTTGACAATGTCTTCAAGTTAATTATCCAATAAAGACATAGTGAGTAGCTGGACGTTAAAACTGGTTATTTGTGGTCCGTAAGTCGTTGTGATGACGTTAAATCCACTAATATACGTTATCAGGTGCAATTATAGTGGTGTAATATCGATGTGGAGGAAAAGCAAACATTGAAAATTGACAACAGGCTTTTTCCTGTCATCTTCCGTGATAGCTCCTGTCTTATCTCTGTTAACACACATAAATATGGCCAAAGTATTGTATAAAATGTAAGTACATTTGTTCAAGATCCATCTTTGTTCACAGGATTTTTTCAATTAATATAATCTTTTCAAAATTTCAGTGAAGCTGGAATGGTGATATCCCCAGTTTGTTCCAAAACATCAGTCAACTCTTAAACTTGGGAAAACCAGATTTGCAATACCCCAAGAATGTTTTGATACATCAGTCAACCTAAAACTCCTGAGAAAGCTGGACTGGCGATATCCCAAGTATGTTCCGAAAATTTAGTCAAGCTAAAACTCTTGGGAA